AAGCATCATCCAATCTGTCGAAGGCCTAAATAGAATAAAAAGGTAGAAGAAAGGCAAGTTTGTTTCCTGTTTGAGCTGGGATATATATCTTATCCCACACTCCATCATTGGCACTCCTGGTTCCTGGACCTGTAAACTCCTGGGACTGGACTTATACCATTACCCACCTACCCTTCCTGGTTTTTAGGCTTTAAGATTTGGATTGAGTTACACCACTGGTTTTCCTGTTCACCTACAGTAGATTGTGGAACTTCTTGTCCTCCATAAGCATATGAGTTAATTGCTATAATCTCTCTCTCTATCTTTCTGTGGGGGTGTGTGTGTAACATATATATATACACATACATATATATTCTATACATACATATACATACACACACATATACACTTCAATCCTGTCTCTCCAATCAATCCTTTACAAATTTCTATCATGCAAATCTGTTCTTTTTACTCCTTTGACCATATTCTTTTTAAATGTTTTTTTCCTTTTCTTAGAGGAATGGTTCTTAAGTCAGCATCATGTCCCCTGGGAATTTGTTAAAGATGCAAAATGTCAAACCCCACCCAAGACCTACCGAATCAGAATCTCTGGGTAACACCCACCAATATGTGTTTTAATAAGCCCTCCATTAATTTTAATGCTCACTTATGTTTAACATCATTGGAACCATTTATCCCAGAGGAAAAAACTATATTTCTTTGTAGGGATATTATTTGAGTGTGAGCATGATCTGACCCCTGCCCAATCTTGTCTCTGATTTATTCTTTCCTTACTTGTACCTGTTTCGATCTGCAAATGTGGAAATAAAACCCCTCCAAGTTAGTAATTTGCCTCAGGTAACATGGCTAGTGAGTGACATGAGGGAAGAATTAAACTTAGCTAATTCCAAGGTTTGTTTTGTTTTGTTTTTAGTACCACACCCTGCTACTTTTTAAAATACATTTACTATACTCTTATATTCAAAATCTATCTAACATCACAATGTTTGTATTTATCCTAATTGTTAATTTAGTTTGTTCCTCCTCTTAGACTATAAACTCCAGGAAGGTAAGGAAGTTTGTCCAAGGAGAATGTCAATAAAACATGACTCTCTACTGCCATCTGGTGATAAGATGCAACAATTCCAAGAGGAATATATGTGCATTGAATGTCTTCTGCCTGTAGAGTGTAGTGAGTAAGACAAAAGCTTTGGCTTCAGACTTCCATTCAGATAACAGAATGATTATCCCCTGGCTGTTAGATCTTGAGCAATTTACTTAGTATCTCTATCTTAGGTTCCTCATCTGTAAAACTGGGTTGCTAACAATTTTTCTCATTGATATGAAAAATTGATATCTCATGAAATACAATGATAATCAAGTTAGCTATTATTATTATAATTATCAATACTGTTATAAAGGACTTAGCTAGACTGTATAGTTGGCACAAAGAAATAAATGAAACACTGTTCCTTAAATATTTTATAATCTAGGTGAGTAGGTAAGACAGGGTTAGGAAACAATTAATGAATAAATAAATAAATAACCATACAAGCTTTAAATGCTGAATCCTTATGGTGTTAACTATTAATGTAGAGGACATAAAATTCGAGCTAGTATAAGAATTTATAATTGGTATGTGTGAGAAGGAGTCTCAGATGGAGAACTGTTCCTGTAAGTCTCCGCACACATTGAGACTAACACCTGTAAAGTACTAATAAAAATGATATACTTGGGTAACCCACTCAGGTCCCCTTCCATGCTGGGGAAGCTTTGTTCTTTTGCTCTTTGCAATAAATTTTGCTGCTGCTCAAAAAAAAAAAAAAAAAAAAAAAAAAAAGATATAACTGCACACTTATATTACAAAGTCATAATCACAAAACCATTTTTATTTAATGCTTCATTCTATAATCCCAGATCTCATTATCCAAACAAAACCTAACACATGACCCAAAAAGTGTTTATTGTAAATGAGTTTTGTTGTCATTGTTTTTAATATACCTAAAAATTAATAATTGTATTTTACTGATAAAATATAGATTACATTACTTCATAAATGTGAATTATATATTTTCAACTTAAAGAAAAACCTACATTGTGTTAAATGGTGATTAAACTCAACATTTGCGAGATCCTGTGATTTAGACACATTGATCTCCAGTTTGAAAAAGCAAGTACAAGGCCGGGCGCGGTGGCTCAAGCCTGTAATCCCAGCACTTTGGGAGGCCGAGACGGGCGGATCACGAGGTCAGGAGATCGAGACCATCCTGGCTAATATGGTGAAACCCCGTCTCTACTAAAAAATACAAAAAACTAGCCGGGCGCAGTGGCGGGCGCCTGTAGTCCCAGCTACTCGGGAGGCTGAGGCGGGAGAATGGCGTGAACCCGGGAGGCAGAGCTTGCAGTGAGCTGAGATCCGGCCACTGCACTCCAGCCTGGGCGGCAGAGCGAGACTCCGTCTCAAAAAAAAAAAAAAAAAAAAAAAAACCCAGGCCTTGCCATTAACTCTAAGCTTGGCTCCCTCATGCTGTAATTTTTTTAAATTAATTTTTAAAATATTCACTATTGCTCCTTCATATTGCATACGTTTCAGCTTTGGTTTGTTTCTTCCTAATCCCATATAACAACAACATTTAAAACCAAAGCAATCTAAAATGTATTTCTAAAATATTCTGCTTAAATGTCCAATAACCAATTTGGAATTTTGTGTGCATAATGAATGCTTACTCGTAAGAAAACTGGTGCTAAAACTTTTATTAATTTCCTACTTGGAGGATTAGATAACGTCAAATAGTATTTGTAACCTTTGTTTCTTTAATTTGTGAAAGATATATTTCAATTTTATAGTACTGAATGTCATGTATTTTTAAAATGTATTATTTTTTTCATGAACATCATGTTATTATTCACCAGAAAATGGGCTATTATTATTGTATTTGTGTTAATGCTGAGCCTTTGTCACCATTTTCATTTTAATTCTATCCTTGGTAATAAAATAGTCGATATGTTCCTGCGTCTTTTTTCCCTAGCAGTGGAAGTATTACTTCACTGAAGCAGATAAATAGGACAGATAATGATTATTATAAGCTCAGCGATCCTTATAATGGGGAAAAGTAGAATGTTCTCCGATCACTCTCAAAATTGGAAACTGACTGAATTTCATTTAGGAAACAGCAAGTTCTTTTCGTAGTTGATATTCTCTAAATGTATTTAAAGACTAGAATATTTGCCCTGAATCCTGGGAAAATAGGTAAAATCTTGCTTATCTTAAGTAAAGAGGAAAAATCATATATAAATCATATTTTGAGTTAAGTAAAAAAGTCAAGGATGCCTCCCCCCACCAAAAAATGACAATGAATGTCTCATTTCTTTTCTATATATGCACAAATGTCAGGAAAGTTTGAGAGTATCACGGTTCTTCCTGTTCTATGAATTTACTAAGGGTCATGCCAATGTAGGCAAATTAGACAGTGCAGTTAGTAAATGAAAGACATTGATCCTATTTTGGGTGAGAAGGAATGATGCAATACATAGATGAAGGCCATTTTTCATGGTCCAGTCCATTTAGATTGTGCCGAACATACAATTTATAATTACTACAAAATGCCAAACAATCTGAGGGACAAAATACAGTTGTGTAAATAATTTTACACTTGAAATAATCAAAACCATTCATATCTTATAAGTGATTGTCATCTACAGTGTTTGCTTACAGCTAGGCATTCCTCTGTTGAAGAGGAAGCTTCTAGAAAAGAGTATCTTTTTCATTATACTAGTGGCACATTGCTGGTCAGAATAATAACTTCTTGCCTTATTTAAATTTAGTTAAATTCAATATATCTATTAAATCCTTATTAAATGCAACAATGACTAATCTATATACTTTTTTTCTGTATTGTCCTTATGCTTTTTAGCTTATAAGGTGAAAGAAATCAAGAGTGGAAGAAAAAAATTAAAGTTATTGCTCACCTATGCAAGCAGTATGTATAGAAACTAGTATGTATAGCAAAGAAAGATCAATTACATAAGAAAATAGAAACTGAGAAATTGAGAGTATCTGGGAAAATAACTAGATTCAATCAGATTGTCAGAGAAAGGACACAGAAAATTTTGCAGATGAGACTTTGGTAGAAGAAATAGCATCAAGGGAGGATGAAGGTCACATACTGAAGAAAGACAAATAGCCATGTGATATTGTCAACCAGAGAGGTAACTGGTTTTAGTCAAGTCTAAACGATACTATAATACAAATTTAAAATATAAGGCTCAGTGTGTGGAACAAATGCCCTACATGCCAATGAGTTAGAAGATCTTATTCCACACTGAAAAAGAAAGAGAAGGAGAAAATGCAAGAGAGAGCTTGTCATCTAAGAATCGTGAATCTAAAATGAAAATATGCTAATGAAGGGGACATTGTTTGCATTCAAATGAGATTTCCACCAGTTATGTCACATATAATGGCGAAAAAGTATAAAGGGATGAGCTGATGTTACGCCGAATGGTCATGGTATCACAGTAGGGGAAAAAGTAAGAATTAGGATAGTAACATTTGGCAAAGATTGAGTGGAGGAAAGAGAATCATGAAACCAAGATGGCGTTCACTGTTGAACCAAAAGCTGAAAAACATGGGGAGAGGTAACATATATGTGCCTGTGAACTTACTTCTCTTAAAATAGAGGAACTCAAGCAAATGGTTCACCTTTTCTCATGTACCACCCCGTCTCCTCCCAATATGCTACATGGCAATAATCTAAAAATTAGGGGACTTAGTTTAAAATAAATATATAGGGGCATCTTAGTAATTAAGATGCCCCTAAATATTTATATGTAAAGAAAATAAAAAGCAAAATAAAAAAATTCTAAACTAGTTAAAATAAAGGTTAAAACCACTTCCCTCATACACTATGCATAAAATGTCAATAACTTTTAACTTACAGAAGATTATTTTATAGTTCAAATATTACATTATCAAGATGATAATACTTTCTGGGTGGTTAATCCATAAGTGAACAAGCACTTACCCTGTGGCTGGCGACTGGGATGGTATATCTGAAGGTCAAATGGCTGTGCACTTGTTTTCTGAATCACACTGACATTCTGCCCTGTCCATTTATTGGCTTTGGACAATGTGTTGGTCCTCCAGTCTGTCCAGTAGACTTCACTCCCATATAGAGACACAGCAAAGGGATGGGAAAGGTATTCATGACCTCGGATGATTTCTATCATGTTTGTTCCATCATAGAGGGCTGAATAAATAGCATCTGACCTACAGGAAGATAAATACATGGGTAGTTTGTCAAAACTCATTCAACTAGTCCAGAGACATAATCATATAACTCAGCTAAATGACAAAAAAAGGTATTTTATTAATATTTTTATGGGTCTGTATCTGATTTGGGAAAAGCAGAAAAAAAAAAACAAACCACCTCCAATTTTAATATATGTATACATGATACTGACATGTTAGGACATTTTCCAGTGTTGTAAATATTATCTGAGGAAATAAAAAACAAAATCCAGAAAAGAGATAATTTTTTAAACCTGGCATCTGTCCACACTATCCTTTTCTCAAAGTGGTCCACAGTTAGTCCATTAGGCCAAGCCCCAGTTTTCATGTCTTTGTAGATGGTTTTTCTTGCAGCACCACTCATAGAGGCAGATTCAATGCGAGGAAAATTTGCATCCCAGTCTGTCCAGAAAAGAATTCTTAAAAAAAAAAGAAATAATGCTATTGTTTCAGTCATTCATTTCACAGATATTTATTGAGTGTCTACTATGTGCTAGGCACTGCATAGGTGTTCAGTCACAACAGAAACAGATGTATTATATACCCTTATGGAGCTTATGGTCCAGTGGAGGAGTCAGACTAAATAAGTGCATAAATATATAATGATGACTCATGAAATATTTTGAAAAAAAAATACTATGAGAGAGAATAGCAGGTGACTGACCTACTTAGAGAAGGTGATCAGAAAAAAAGCACTTTGAGGAGTGACATTTATACTAAAACTGAAGAACGAGATGGGCAGTATAAAGAGCATGGCAAGTAGAACAAACAACATATGCTAAGGCCCTAACAGGGAAAAGAATGTGGGCTATTTGAGGAACAGAAATAAGGTCAATGCATTGGAAGTATAGTGAGTGAGGAGGAGAGGGGAGGAATAGGAAGTCAAAAAGGTGATATTATGGGTCTTGTGAAGGGTAAGATAATTACTTTGGATTTTATATTAAGGGAATAAGAAGTGCATGGACCTTTGGTGGCTTTTAAGCAGAGGAGAAATGTTATTCTGTATATTTAGTAAATATATACAGCCATAGTGACAGTGACAGGAGACAGACAAATTCCCAGGCAGCCACAAATGGGTCCCCTGTGAAACTCAACCTTCAAGCCAGGGCAGTCTAAAGCCTGAAAACTGGGCTACCAGTTCTGGATCAAATCCATGAACCAGAGTGAGAACTTCCATCCATATCTTATCCACTCTCTCTTAATTGGTTCTTTCTGAATGATGCCTTTAGCCTATTGAATGATTCCTTTTCCAAGCCCACCCATAAACCAATTAGCAAGCATTCCCCCATTTGAAGCCCATAAAAACCCCTAGCTCAGCCTCAGAGAAGGCTACCCACTTTCAAGTCCCCTCTTCTCGCTGTTGAGAGCTTTTCTTTCACTCAATAAATTTTACTCTGCCTTACTCCCTCTCCAGTATCCATGTACCTTATTCCTTTTGGTCATGGGACAAGAACCTGGAGTCACTGAACTGCAGGAGTGAAAGAGCTATAATGCTCCTGCTTGCCAAGTTACATGTGGCAGGAGGAAAAGAGCTGTAACACTCCTGCCTGCTGAATTAGGGGAATAAAAAACCCACAGCGATAGTGATGAGACAGTATATCTGTCTAATCAGTATGTACACAGGATATACTGTACCAAACACAGATACACTGTCTAATCAATGTGGCTATTATACAGAGAATAGTAGTGAGGCAAGAGTATGAGCATGTTAAGTGGTTATATAAAAGACCAGAAAAGATGATAGTGGTCTAGAATATGGTGGTGGCAATAAAGGAGAGAAGTGAGTTGATTCAAGATATAATTTGAAGGTAGAATTGTCAGGACTAGCTGATAGACTGGGTGTAAGAAATGAGGTAAGTAACAGAATCTCAGGTGACCGTCCGTTTCTTGTTTCAGTAATCTCAGATTGAGGGAAGGATACGGTGTATAGGGATTCCATTAAGTGAAAGGGGAAAATGGAAGAGGAACAAATTTCAAGAGCTTAGAATTGAGTGTTGATGGGTGTAGACAGTGTTGGGGCTCAGAGAATAATATGCCAAAGTATGGTGCTTTGGCATGCTGAGCACTTTTTTGAATTAAAGGAAATTTAAAGTTCATGGAAGCTGCCTTTCAAGAATGTTCTAACCTTCTCTTCTTGCTCTCTTCCTTGCCCCAGACACAAGGGCGGGGCTCTCTGGAAGTACCCTTATTTGACTGAAGAAAACTTCTTTCAAAAGAAATGCAATTGTCTGAAAACCACTCCGTTGGAATCTCATTAAATAACCAGGAATGATTAAACAACAAAGATGAAAAAAGACTCATCACCACACCCAGACAGACTTTTCATCTGTTCTGAAGGAAGCTCTGAGAGATTTTCTGAGAGGCTTTATTTGTATGCTAAGACAATGTTTGTTCACTGTGAGGTTCTGTCCTTCACCTTTCTGGAAATTATAGCCACTCACCCCCGAGGTCAGCGGAACGTTGGCCCAGGACATTGTCTATTATTTGAGCTCATTCAATTCCCCTGAAAATTATTTAGCACTCCTCAAAATACCTTACATTTCCCATTTCCCTCTCCTGTATGAAGAGGGCATATAAGCCTCAACCATCTGGCCTTCTGATTCTTTATTTTGTATGGCTCCCATGTACACTTGCACATTAATAATCCTGTATGCCTTTTCTTCTCATAATTTGTTGCCAGTTTATTTCAGGACACTTGAACCTCCAGAGAGGGAGTGAAAAATTCCCTTTTTTGATTGAAAAATCAAAAAGATAAAGTAATGTTGCAGTGCATGTTTCCATCAGGTCTGGCAATATTTTGTTGATAAATGGTAAAATTGTGAAATTGTAAAAAAATAAATTTGATCTTCATGTAATTATATATAGCTTTGTTAATTTTTGACTCTTCTATTATTCTGTATAATCCTTGAAAATAGGAATTTAGTAAATTACCTTGTAAAATGAAACAATCCTTTAAAACAAAATTTAAAATTCAATTAACACATCTTCCTTTTAAACAAATTTTATGTGTATTTAAAGAAATGTGAAATGATGTAAACTAAGTATTCACCATGAGTTCTATTTTTGAAAAGAATATAGTCTGTTATAGAAAACAGGAATTACAAATATGAAATGATTAGAGGACAGTTTAAAACATTGTATTTATAAACAGAGTGATTACATATGCTAAAAGAGTAGGACAAAAAGGGAAGACAGATGAGAGTGGAACTTCCTATGTAAGTTAAAACACTGACATTTGGTAAGTGTTATTAGATAACTGTGTCAATATTAAATAGTGGTAATGTATATGCATTTGTGTAAAACAAACTTGGATCAAAGTTGGAATTTGTCACTTACTTCTGCATACTTAATCTCAAGCCCCATTTTTTCATCTGAAAATCAAAACTGTTATAGTATACATTTGTTGGGAACATTAGGTGAGATAATGGATGTAAACAATTTAGCACACAGAATGATTAGTACAGAGAAAAGATTTTTGTACATGCATGCTCACACATATATTGATAGAGAATAAATATTTTTTAAAGGAAAACTTTCACAGTCTTGCTAACTGTTAAGGAAACAGAGAAAGGGAGAGAAGGAAGGAGAGAGAGAAAATACTAATATCTATATTTAAATGCTACAACAGTGCCTATGTGAAAGTAGATTAGTTTTATGAAGCAAACATGAATCAAAGTCATGAGAATATGATTCAGGGCAAGAGATCATAGGATTTGATTCATCTCATAGAATTTATTTCAAACAATGGGTTTCTATTAGTTACTTTTAAAAGAATTTTAGTTTCATGGAGATGTGAAAGGAAAATAAATTTTGGAGATTTTTGATTTTGACTACTATAAGGGCTTTATTTACATAACAAGGTCAACATTTTGCTAGCCAGGCCAAACTGAAGGAACAATGGCTGTCACCCCATGCTGCAGTTTGATAGCTAAGGTTCTGCCTTCTTTTTTTTTTTTTCCCCCCCACCATGATAGCCTGGGTTTGGTTCCTATTTAAAGCTTTTTCTTGTTTGATACTTGGTAATTCTGAAATAGTAGCAATTTATTCTAGCTGAAATATGGTAATGACATTTTAAAATATTTTTTTTAAGGAGGTCAATGGTTAGAAGTCAGCTTAATTAAAAGCTCACAACCAAGATGTGTGTGTGTATGTGTGCATGTGTGTGTGTTTGTATTTAAAAGGCCTTAAAGTCCTTGATGTTTTTGTTTTTTTCTCTCTTAGGACCTTGTCTTTTTTTTTTTTTTTTTTTTTTTGAGCAAAATTTTTTTTTATTTTTCTTTTTTTCTTTTTTTTTTTTTTTTTTTACTAAAGTAGCTATTGCAACAGAGGCTACTCTTAGTTTTGTAAGGAATAGTATCGTTTAGACACTTAGAAATGTCATTTATTTATTTATTTATTTATTTATTTATTTATGAACTGTAAGTGCATTACATGGTTTAACGTCTTAATAATTTTCTTTTTGGAGACCCAGGATTCAGTGTGGGCTCTACCCAGAGCTCAGAGATCCAGTTAAAAAATAGGTTGTACCTAGCTAAATAAAATTGGTCTCCTTGTACAATCCTATGATAAATTTCTGTAATTTTATGTTTGATTTGGTATGCATCTTTAATCTCCCTCTAGCACCACCAGACTTTTTCTCTCTATACCTTATGATGTAAATTTTGCTATTTCATTTTCACCTTAGTTGTTTCCTTTAATATGAAAAATTAAGGCTATTTAGCTGACAACCGCCTAGGGTTGTGAAACAAGTTATCAGAAATCTGAAAGTCCAAGACAGGAAAAAAAAAAAAAAAAAAGGTCTTTATGAATCTATAAGATGTATTTCTCTCAGCAGGCGTAATATGTTTATGTATTTATGTGCATATACACAATGTTTCACTACTAAAAATATATACAAGAGCTCTAATTAATTGGTTTAAGAAAATAAAAGCACTTGAATCAAATACTTTATCAGGAATAAAATACTAGTCAAATGCTTTTTCAAGTTTACATAACAAATAAAATCCTTAATAAATAAGCTAGCTTTAAAATTTTTGGTAAAGTAGTTAAGACTTTAGAAATGTCTTAAGAATTGTCAGAATACATTTTTGTTTGCATGTATTAATCAAGCACTTTCTTACTTATCCTTGCCAAATACTATAAGGTGTCAAAATTTGGCATAAGGGATACAAAACTATAAACCTAGCACAAGACAGAATAATCTTTGCTTGCATGATCTTTAATAAATAAGACATTGATATTGTTTTAATAAAAACAGTTACATCTTAAATTTAGTAAGATTACCATAACTTCTAATCTTGTGGCTTTAGGTGGTCTAGTCCACAGGTAGTAAAGTTTGTTTTGGGAAGGGATTGTAATTATCTTTGTTTCAAAGCTAAACTATAAACTATAAACTAAGTAATACAAATACAAAGTTAGT